GTTGGATTAATTAATTCTAGCAGTTTAGGTTGAGTTAGTTCTAAAGGAAACTAGTTGGATTTATTGCTTCCAGTGGTTTTGGCTAATTGAGTTGATTTAAAGAAAAGTATTTGGATTCAATAATTCCTGTGATTTGGACCAACTGAGTTGGTTTTAAAGGAAACTAGTTGATTCATTGGTTCCAAGGATTTGGGCTGAGTTGATTTTAAAGAAATATAGTTGGATTCATTGCTTCCAGTAGTTTGGGATAAATGGAGCAACTTGATGTTTTGTTAAGGACCATGCCATCAATGTTTTATCAGAAGTCAGTTTTAGGTTATCAATTCTTTGCTGGCAAATGGTTAATATTGGTCTAGTTGATGTATTTGTGTGTGTGTGTGTTCATATTATTTATGTACAGTACCTCCAGTTGATCCTTTTATTTTGATTAATGCTATTAATGTATAAAATTTGAAGATAATGGAGAGTCTGCATTATGATGTATTATTATTATTATTAATTTATTATTCACATTTGTTTTTCCTTTAGTCTTTTAACCATGATTTTGTTTTCTATTTCAGATTGTGGTGAACTGTATACAAGAGAATCTGGAAAAATTGAAACTCCAAGTAATTCCAGTTTTTGTGTCTGGATAATCAAAGTCCCACCTACTAGTAGTGATTCAGTAAACATTGTGATATTTACTCTAACACCAAATGAGTTTGGTGAAAACAGGTTAGTTACTGACAATTGTTTATCCAAAACTGTGGTTGATGCTGTGTCAAATTAACTATGTTACTGAAATTTACTTTTTCATTTAAATCCTAGGGAAAATGTTTTCCAGCAACTGAAAGACAAAGCAATTTTATGTATTTTTAGTTTGTGCTGCATAGAATAATTTAGTCTTCATCAATATTAAGTAAACCCTTATTTCTCATAAAACCATACGTGACTATAGAATCTGAAGATGAAACAACCCACCTGCAGTTAAGTTTATTTTTATCATTTTTGTTTTATTAAGCTTAAAAGTCTCAAGTGATTTTCCAGTTATGCATTTAAAACCACTGAACATTTCGTATGATTTGAAGTTGTTTAATGTTACTCCTTTTTTCAAGGGAGGTGATAAAAATTGCTTTAGTAATTATAGTCCTGTTAGTCTTACATCAGTGATGGGAAACGTTTTTGAAAGTCTGATAAAAGATGCTTTGCAAAGTCATTTAACAAAGTTTATAATTTCGTTAGATAGCTTTGTTTCACTAGGGAAGAATCTTGCCTTACTGAACATTTAACATTCTTTGAAGAGGTTACTATATATGTAGATGAGGGTATGGTATATCTGGATTTTCAGAAAACAAGGAGCTACATAAAAAATCATCTCTGAGTGTGTGAGGGATAGGTTGGCTGATAGGATAGAAAAATGACAGAATGGAAGAAAGCATAGGGTTATTATAAATGGTATTCAGTCAAACTTGATTAATGTTGCAAGTGGGGTACCTGAGGGCTCAATATTGGGACCCTTGCTGTTTTTTATTTACATCAGTGATATAAATGAAGGAATGGAGTGGGCAATAAATTATTAAATTTGCTAATGATATTAATGTATTGGATGTTACTGGCTGTGAGGAGGATGCTACTGCTTTACAAAAGGATTTTAATTATGTAGTGAGTTGGGCAAATACATGCCAGATGGCTTTTAGTTATTATAAACACAAAGTGTAATGCATGTTGGAACTTAGCCTGGGTATAGTTATTCATTTGGTACATGTATAAAAAGTGTGTCATGTAAACAGTTTCTTGTGCATGAGTAATGCATAATTGTCTGGATACCTTTTCATATTTAAACCTATACATTGTTTGAGATGGCAACCTGTATTAAATATTTTTTCTGAAGTCGTATTCAAGATCCATCAAAGTGAAATACTTGAATATATAATTTTCTCTCATATACATTGATATATTGATAAACAGAAGTTTTTATTTTTGTAATTAACTTGTATATCTAAAAAAAATGGTATCTTGTATGTTTCCTGAGTTTTTATACTTTTTTTTAATAGCAGTATAGAAATACATGATGGGGGTTCAATAAGAGATCGACCATTTACAAACCTCTCTGGGTCAGATATCTGGAGCAGAACCAATGAGCTTTTAATAGTCTATCATCCAACTTCTGACAATACAGAGAAAATCACTGTCAACTATAAAACATTTTGTAAGTTTTTAACAAATAGAAATATTGTAACTGAATATCTATGTACAAATCTACAAGGGGAAGTACTTATTGTTACACAGTATTATAATGTGTGAATTAGATATATTAAACAAAAAGTAGACAATGCAGAAGAATGGATAATGTTTGGCACCATAACATATACTATTTCAAATAGCTGTATTACTTTACAAAGGCATGTAAAATTAACAATTCTATGAGTGGGATATGAAGATTCCCTTACACTACATTTCAGAATTATAGTTAAAATTATAAAACATTAAATTTGCTGAACTATAATAAGATAGAATTTTGATAAAAAAAAAAAACTTTTGAATCATAATCAGCCTACCACATAACTGCAATTATTCAAGATTGGATGTAATGAGCTTAATGAACAACGTAAAAGAATACAGATGTATGAGGCTCAAAACTTCAGTGTAAAATTTGAAACAATTTTTGTTTTCATGTTTATTTTTAATGTTTTGATCAGTTTTTATAAAAAAAATGTTAAAATATTTTACAGACATCTTATAGGTACCAGTCATCCTATGTGTATATTTTAACTATTTTACTGTTAAATATATTTGGTAAGATTTGAGTTGAGGGAGCCTTACAATGAGTGCTGAAAATCTACAAAGTTCTAATTAATATCCTTGTGATTTCAGTAGGTCAGTGTTAAAATTGCTGAAAAGAACCTGTGGTTATTATCAGTATGTTAGTATCAAAGAGTTACTTGTAACAGCCTAGATTGCTTCATTATTCAAGAACAAACATGTTACTGTTTTTTCTTTCCTCTTTTGCATCTTTAAAAAAAATCAGTCTTAGTTCTTTGATTTAACAGATGCATGTTTGTCCATTAGGGTACATGACAGATATGTATATGTATATTCTTTCAAGTAAAAAAAAATCAGTCTTAGTTCTTTGATTTAACAGATGCATGTTTGTCCATTAGGGTACATGACAGATATGTATATGTATATTCTTTCAAGTAAAAAAAATCAGTCTTAGTTCTTTGATTTAACAAATGCATGTTTGTCCATTAGGGTACATGAAAGATATGTATATGTATATTCTTTCAAGTAAAAAAAAATCAGTCTTAGTTCTTTGATTTAACAAATGCATGTTTGTCCATTAGGGTACATGAAAGATATGTATATGTATATTCTTTTAAGTAAAAAAAAAATCAGTCTTAGGTCTGTGACTTCCAATGCATGTTTGTCTATTAGGGTACATACAAGATATGTATATATATAGTCAAATGAAATTTGTGATTCAATTCTTTTTTTCAACCAACTCTCTCATGAAATCAGCCTTTGATTTCAAGGTGTGACCGGAATCTATGGACCTTTGGCTCATGAACCTTTGTCAGTTTTAAATTCTTATTTATTATTTTTGCTAACAGTATCAGGAGATATGCCCAGCATCATATTAATGGCATTTAATGTTGAAAGGTTCTTTCTTATAATCATAGTTTTTAGTTTGAAGATGAGGAATTGCTCTGTATTAGCATATGGCATGGTCTTTGATGTATTTTATTATTCTAAATATTCCTCTGTGCAAATGTTTCCACTATAATGCTTTACCCGTACATGAACTAACAAATTAGCTCTATGAGTACAATATTTTTCTCAGCCACCAATAATTTTTTGGAAGCATTTTACCATCCTAGTCAGTGTGGCATGCTTTTATCTATATGACAAATACCTGTCTATCATGTAACTGTCATTTTAGAATTACCCTACATTTGCAGGAAATCAGTAGTTAACTTGCATGTTTTTCTTTGCACGTAATAGGCTGTTATTGGCTCTTTTTGAAACCTTACCTGTAACAATTGCATCTCATTGTCAAGAGTGTTTGTAATGACCTTGGGCTCTCTTAAGTGTGTTGCTTAATTTTGAAACTTAACATTAAACATCCTGGCTTCAGCATGTCAGTTTTATATATATAATGGCCTGTATAATTTCAAAGTTTTAATGTAAAAGATATGCAAGTCAAAAGCTCACAATAATATCAGAATATAAGCATTGAAACTTTATATGCAGTAGCCTGTAATTATCTTATCAATGTTATTGCTTCAGAGTGACCTCTATTTATCATTTTTAAAGGTAGACAGTTAACAACCTATGGTGATTTCAGTGTGTGACTATTGAAAGTTTACATATTTAAAAAAATTGATCTAGAATAATTTTATTATTTTAGTGTATTAAATCCTGCAGGTTTCATATGATGTTCTTTTCTATAACTGTCGAAGTTCTATAGTTAGTAGTTAATGTAGCACATGATCACTGATCCTAAAAGTTCACATAGTTGATTAGTTCATGAGAGAACTTAATTGGGCACAAAACTTTTTTAAGTATGTCAGAAGGCACTTTAAGCTAGCTTTTCTATTGCTGTTTTTTTTTCTCATTTATACTAATAACACAGGCCTGCGATGGTTTTGTTGTCTTAAAATTTTTACATGTTTTATGGTAGTTCCTGTATGCTGAATCTCAAAATGATATTCATTTTTCTCTATCACATACAAATTTTTCACAGAATGTCATATGTACTTTTACATAAGTGAATCATTTTCATTAAAATCGGGTCACATTTTGTTATGCTTAAAATGTTCACAACCACAGGCTGTAGATTTCTTTAGACCAATCACAATGTGAGAATCTTATCAATAATTCTAGAACTCACGAGAAACACACCACTTGTATGTAAACGGTTAACAGGCTGCATGATGTGTTATTTCTGGATAGTATTTGTTTGTGCATGCACTTCGAATTTTTATTTTTTTTTCAATATTAGTTATTCATTGCTATGGCAACAAGATATTGTGTAAATGATCCAAACATATTCTGTTATATTTGTAGTAAATTTGTTGTAAAGAAACAAAGGAAAAACGTTTCAGAAATCGTCAAAAAAGCATATTACATATAATTAGGAATAAAACTTGGGGACCAAGACGAATCGTGAGCTCCACACAAAGTTTGCACCATTTGTGTTGAAGAGTTGAGACAATGGACTAAAGGTAAGAAAAAAGTCTTTGTCTTTTGGAATTCCAATGGTCTGGCATGAGCCTACAAATCACGGAGATGACTGCTATTTTTGCTCATGTAATGTACAAGGTTACAACACTCAAAATTAAAAGGAAATTTCTTACCCAAACCTTCAGCCTGTTATAAGACCTATTGCTCATGGATCTGATGTACCTATACCTACTCCCCCGGAGACTCTTTATACAGGCTCATCTGATTGTGAATATGATGTCATTAGAAATGATGATAGGGATTGTTTTCAACCTGAGCCATCTGGTGAACCACA